ACAGGCCTTGACAGATAGGGACCACACGGGCTGCTGCTCCAGGATGAAGTACCGCAGCCGGGAGTTGTTTCTGACGGGGCTGAGGTGCTCCATCATGTCACGGCAGAAGGTGCCGGTGAGTAACGTGCCCGGGGACATGATCCTTTCTGCTGCTGTCAACGTTTTTCGAGCCCAGGCAACCTGCCTTTGTCCTCTCCAATGGCCGGCACTGCCCACAGGAGTTGATATTACCCCATCACTGCTGCCTTGGCAAACGGAGCCCCAGGGCACAAACTGCATTTGCTGAAGAGCTCCGGAGCTTTTGGGATGCTGCTTTGCAGGGTGTGGGGCGAGCGAGGGAGATCTTTGCAGGAGACCTGCAGGGTCTCCTTGGGTGCTAGCAGCAAAGCAGCTTGCCTTTGTCCAGACGTGTCCTGGATATCACCATGGCTGACCTTCAATGAGGGAGCCATGCAGATCCCAACGCACAGTGCTTTCAGCAGCTCTCCTCCTGGCACAGCTGCAGGACCGGCCACTGCCACTTCTCCATGGGATCCATCCTTCTGCTGCCCTATAGAGCTCGGATCACACCCTTGGTTTTGCCAGGAAGCAAATGAGAAGCGCAGGGTGGGAAGGGACAGGGGAGAGGGATGATCTGCAGGGCTGCACCGCAAGGAAAACACTGGGACGGGGATTGCTGTTGTTATTGTTACTCTCCCATGCACACTCCCAGCCAATCCAGTAATCTATTATTTATGTGTAGCCTAATTAAGGTTGTGAGTAGCTTGATCTCTGTTTACTTAAGTATCTAGGGGAAGATTGCCAAGATGCAATAACAGGATGTCAGGGCAGGCAGGGCCGGCTGCGTGTGCAGGACGCTGCGGGCTGCTCCTGCCTTTGCAGGTGGAGATCACATCGGCTGTAGCATCAAACACCCTGTTGCCAATTCAAGCTTATCTAACACAGATTCAGACAAACCAGACCAAACAAAAGCCAGCAGAGTCTGAAACCAGTGAAAGGGATGTGATTAATGAAGCACTCATCGGCTGGGTTTAAATCTCATTCCAACAAAATAAACCTACAGCTGGACCCACAGCCCCACTGAAGTCACAGCACGGATGTCCGTGACTGCACTCTTCCTGTGGCCGAGCTGTGAATCAGCCTCCACGATTCATAACTTCCAGGAGCTATCACAAGGAAGTTGATGGGACTGCCCGTGTGAGTAACCACGCTCCGACAGCAAGAGGCGTTTGCAACCTGCCCTGTGTGATTTACACCAACACAAAGAAAGAGATGAAGTATCCTCTCCTGTCAAGTCCTGTTTACTCAGCTACTCTGTCTTAGAGGGGACCTCGGATAATGTCACCTTTTCGGAGTGTCACGGATGAAATATGCCCCTCCTGTTGCATACATCATGGGTTTTATACTTAGCACAGTGGGCAGCTTTCTCTCCTCACACCAACCCCCAGGCTGAGCCAGCCAACGAGACTATTCCGTTTGCAACGCGCGCTGCCACCCTCCAAAAGCTCTTCCAAATGGATCTGTTTGGGCCCACTTTAAGTATCAATATTGCCAGGTTCTGTGTTAAATGTGTACGCAACGCGTTTCGGGAAACCTTTAACAAATTCTGTGCGGAAGAATATGTTTTCCCATATGGGCTGCTTAAAGAAAGGCAGATGTGAGGCAATCCAAATCCCTCATATGCTTCTCCTCCTTCTCCCTTTCCTTTTGGCAAACCATCTCAGGCAAAGACAAATATTGTATCAAAGAATTATGGAAATAAACACGAACATAGCTCAAGGGCACGAGTAAGTTTCTGGAAAATGTTCTCTGTGCAATTAATAGGTAACATTGCAGGGGGAGCCAAGAACCCAAGGAAGCTAATTCTGTGGTGCAGACGGTGCTCTGGGAACTGTGGAGCGGGAGCTGCGTTAAGCAACATTAGTCAGGATGCTCTTAACAGACTGCTGAGAAAGATGAGGAAACCCAAGCAGGGAGCTGGTGTGTGTGTGTGTGTATGCAGGTAACACCAAGCCGGGGTGAGCCGGGGACAGGCTCTGACCAGAGGAGGTATAAGGGCAGGAGCTGCACCGTGGGCTCAGGCGTTGCAGCTGGGGCGAGGGGCAGAAACATCTGGAGGTGGCACCGCTCCTCCTGGAGCTCGTGCACCGGGCGCTATGTGAGAGCTCATCTTGTGCCAAGAGCCATATGGAAACTGATGGCAAAGACTGTGCCCAGGCACAAATCAACAGCGCTGCCACCACCATGACCCCAGACATACCCAACAGAGCAGCGTTCCCAGCACCCCGCTCCCTCTGGGGTCCCTGCCAACAGACCCGCAGCTTCAAAACACCAAGCCAAAAGCAGGAGGCAAAGCACAACACCCAAGCAGTATTTAACTACAAAATGTAGGTTCTTACAAGAAGACAAAGAAATAAATACCTCATTCCTCTGCCAGGTTCCTCAGTTCATTAAATAACCCGCAAACATTAAACCAGATGTTGTATTTTATCACTTTGACTCGGATCATTACGACTTTATCTCTGACAGCCCCAGAGCAAACGCAGTGCAGTTATAAAGGTTATCTAACTATTAAAACAACTATTAATTAAAGTTTGCCAGGTCCTGGGGGCTCTGAGGACAAGCAGCACCTAGGTAAATGTCAGTTATTATTTAATAAGTCCTTGTTGTTGAATCCCACAGCACATGAGCTGCGTTCCCAGGAGGAGCTGGGATCCAGTCTGGCCCCACTGTTTGCAGGGGTGGGTGCTGCAGTGTCAGAGCCGACTGGGCTCTTAGCAGAGGAAGAACAGCAGCAGCAGCCACAGGACAAGTATTTAACCTTGTGCTCTGCCCTTACCTTGCTGGGCCAGCCCCTGCCTCATCCCAGCCCTGGGAACACCATGGATTGGGGACACCTCGTGTTTTCTGCTGGTGAAGCAACAGCCGTGAGACCTGGCCCGGGAGGACGAGGGAAAGCAATAGATTATAACCCAGAACAGCTCCGAGCTCATCCAGGGCTCCCAGAAACTGCTCCAATGCCAATAATTAACAGCAATAATGCTGAATAAGCCTCCAGCACATCCGAGCTCGAAGAGTAAAGGACTGCACTGAGCTGGAACCCAGGAGAAAGAAATACGGAGCTGCTCTTGCATGTTATTCTGTAATTAGGGCTTGCTGCAGCTTTGTCCTTGTCCCTGTGTGACAGAGCACACCCGTTTCCCTCCGGTGACACAGAGCAAGGGGAACAGCCACCTCACAAACCCTGCTTTGTACATGTAAAGACAAATAAAACAAGAACTTGATGCTTTTAATCATGGGGGGAAGAAGGGAGGGAGAAATTAATATGGAGCAGAGAGCCTGAGCATTAAATGGGGGATGAAACGCCTGCCAATGTGTTTTTAACAACAAACCAAGAAAATGAAAGGGCTGTGAGCAACCACTGCATTGAGACAATAATCACTCATCAAGTCAAAGCTTCACTCTAATCAGTTCAGTTGTTCGGGGGAAAAAATAGAGCGATGCTGGGCTCGGAGAACTGCCGTTCATCCCTGCCTCCTGCCTGAGGACCACAGCAGCAGGGACCTGCTCGGCTGCTGCACCTTCCCCGGTACCAGGGGGAAGCCCTGGTGCCCTGGGAGGTTTCCAACCAGGGCAGGATCAGGCATCACTGCTACAAAGCAAGAGGTCTTTCCCAGCTTTGGCAATGCCCCAGTAAGGGGCCAGACCCAGGGTCCCACGCTGTGCAGTGCAGAAGAGCCAGGGATGTACGTGCGATGGCTTTCCTAAAGGATGGCTCGGCCTTTGAAAAGTCCCCCCCTTCAGGTCTCCTCTGTAGTAAATCCACATCCATTCAATAGGAGATGTGGATGCTTTTGCTGCTGAATCCCATAGCCTTGGGAATTCAAGTAGCTGTTTTGAGAGATCAGCTGGAAACCTGGAAAGAGCAACCTGCACGCCGGTGTATTGGAATGGCCATAACCTGCACAGATGGCACAGGAAAGGGCTCCAACGAACAGACAGGCTATTTTCCTACGACAGAGGAGCATGAGAGGTCCCGTGCACTACTGGAGGACACAGGCTGTCTCTGTGCTCCCAGATCACTCCCAATAGCGGCCAAGCACTGTGTGAGTGCTGAGGACATGCTTTTCAAAACAGCTTTTGGCAGCGGAAGCAAGGCAAGCTTTGCCATGGGCTGGAAGGGAGGGAAGCTAATCCAGCACAGCGCTTTTCAACTCGCTAATCCTGTCCTGTCCCGTCCCACGAGCAACGTCCCAACAATTATCTTCGCCGCACAGACGCTGGCAGGGGCAGGGAGGCTTGCCTGCACCAGAAAGGGAATCATTTTCAGAGCTGGAATTTCACCACAGACAGCTTCAGCTCCGCTGCTGATCTGTGCTGAGCTTGACTGCAAACCCCTCAGCATGAGGCTCTTTTTGAAGCATCACTTTACTGCTGGCTTGCTGAGTATCCCTCGGGCCAGCCAGCCAACATCCCCATGTCTGTGGGGCCCTCTCTGCAACTGAGCTATAAGGATCAGGAACTGCAGAATGGGATTCACCCCTTCCCTTTCCTGCCGCCCCCAGGATAAAAGGGTCCATCTGGGAAGGCAGAGGACAAGTTTTTAGATGTGGCCTGATTTACAAGAAAGCAAAGGAATGATTATCCCCTCTGTGATTTACCTTCCCTGTGCTTTACAACCAGAATAAATTGCAATGCTGAACGTTGCTCCAGAGTTATGAGTTATTGAGGGAGCAGCAGTGCCATGAATCTTGCCACAGCTGGTAACTCATCCCCAGGGCATGTCAGAGACCCTGGGCTGAAGGTTTAACTGGGGGCACGGCTGTTCGTGAGCTGCCTGCTCCTTCCCACATCCCGGCTACAACCAGCAGTGCTGCTGTGGCAGCGCCATGCAGCATGGCCTGCAATGGGTACCTCGGAAATCAGAACTTCTGCTGGAGCCTGCCCCTCAGGAGGCCATTATAGCTTATTCGGGAAAGCAGCACTGTGGGGTTTAGTTCTCCTGCACCTTTTTTGAGGTCTCTCAGTCTGATCTCAACCCACATTTCTGGGTGAGAACGAGCCATTGTACTACAACACCCTGTTCCCAGGGTTGGGTTTTTCCCTGCCCCATGCTTTACAGAGTGCTGGATTCCCTGGCTTTTTGGATTATGGGTGCAGGGTTTTCCTCTAACGCAGATGTATTTCAGCTTCCTGAGCTGACAGAGTTAACTCAGAACACACAAATGTGTGCAAATAGCTCAGGTAATTGCAATCCCTGTGTATTGCTTTGCACTGGGCAATCCAAACGTCACCCCCATGCCAGGCACTTGCTCACTGGGCTCTGGGAGATGTCCTTAAAATTCCTCCGTCTTCTTTAAGCTCGCCTATTCCAAACAGCAGCCTGTCATCTGCACATTCTGCTCCTTCACAGCTTATTGCTTGCCCAGATCCTTAATGACTGCATGGCAGAGTCCTGGATCTCATACAAATCCCAGAGGCGCGCTACCCTCATTGTCTCTAGCCACAATTTATCTGCTATTCTCTTTGATGCCACGGCCAGCAAAGCAGCAATAAAAGCAGCGTCCCCACAGAGAGCCCATCCTCCAGGCTGGGGTGAGCTGCAGAAACAACGTGAAGGCAGAGACACACACTCCTACATAACCTTCAGTGAGGCAGATGGGAGCTGGGCAGGAGGAGGAAGGGCTTTGACACACCAGGAACAGCTCCATGAGGACTCTGAGCTTACCTGGAGCTGGCAGCAGCTCCGGCCATGCTGCCACCTTGGTCCCCCTGGCTGTGTCCTGATGGGAGTTCTGATGGAGCCGATCCATGCCAATCACTGCACCGGGCCACCACTGGCAGCGTCCTACCAGGAGAGCCCTGTGGATGGACGAGAGAGGGACATCAGACAGCTCCCCAAGGAGCCCACGGATACCAGAGAGCTGCACAACTGCTCCCAGCCTCCCCATTTTAAGTTTTCCCTCTGCAATCTGCACAGCAGAGCAAAACTTCTCCCTTCAAGGGGTGACTTCCAGCCCAGAGCTGTTTCACCGTGTTCTCCATCGCAGTGGTGAGCAGCCATGTGCACAGCAGTGTCCTGCAGAGCCTCCCCCAGCCACCATCAGCCCTGAGCGCTGTGTTTAATTGCCCTGTCTATCGTAGGACATCACTCCTGGTTCTTGATGGGTTCTGCAAAAAAACACGTTCAGTTTCCAATGCGGTTAATGCCAGACCACGTTTTTATACAGATTTTCAATGGCCCTGCTGCAGCCACTGTGTCCTTCAGCACAAGCTGGAGCTCCTGCTTGTGAGGGTGGCAGAGCAGGGCTCCCCAGGGAGCCGCGCGCTGGGGGCAGTGAGGATGGAGCCCTCTTGAAAGGAACTCAAAAATGCTTTCTTATAAGCTCCCTATAAATGCAATTTGCCAGATGGATCTTTAGCCCAGGGGTGATTCTCTTCTTGGTGAGAGCAGAAGGGGGGCAGAGGACTCAAATTCCTTTCACCTCTATTCTGACTTTGGCAAAACCAGCAGTGAGCAATACAGTGCAATGACTCATTTTTTCACCCTTGTTTTCTGGCAGGAGCAATACCTTGTGTCTTTTACTCAAGTTAGGATTATCGACCCGCCCTGCGCTTGCTGTCCAGTGTGGGTGACATGACAGCTCAGGAGGAATTGCTGTCTGGGTTAGAAATGCTCTCACAACTAACAGCTCCTTTCCTCCTGGATGAGTGTCACCCGCAGAACAAGGCATGTTCAGCACAGATGACCCAGAGAGCTTCTTCAGAATGCCAGAGGGAAAACCAGCCAGGGAGTGAGGAGGCAGAGGAGAAAATAGGAGATGCTCTGGGTAAAACAAAGGCAGCTGGCTTGAGACGGCGCTGGAGGTGCTTGGGACCTATCCAGCAACCCCGTCCTCTGCTGTGCCTGCTCACAAGCCACAGCGCTTGGACAGTGCCACTTGCCTCAGAGAAGGACCAGTTCCCAGCCCCTTCTCTGCAGGGGCATCTCCCAGCCTCTGAGGCGAGCCCATTGGCACCAGCTTGCATGTGGTGGCACCAGCTCCGAGCCCTTCCCGCAGCAGAGGCCCCTCCATCGCTGCGTCAGACACAGGACGGGGGCCAGAGGTGACGATGTGGACACTGTGTGCTGCAGGATCTGCACCAGCAACTGAATGGGGAGCTGAAAGTCACCAGAGGAGGATTAATGCAAATCCCTAGGGCTGGATCAATGCAGGTACCGAGGCTCTCGCAGTCTCCCCAGAAGGTAGAGGTGCTGCCTGCCTTGCTTATTCCAGGAGTTTAGGCCACACAAAAGATCTCAAAATGCTATAAATACCTCCTGCAATGCTGGAGAGGCACGTGATGCCATCAGCATGACATGGAAAAGCCCGCAGTAGGAGTCTGGACCTGCAGAGCCTCTACATAGGACCGGGGACAGCATTTCTCTGTGGTCTTTCAGGTCCAGATTTAACAAAGGAACCAACAAAACCCTAAACACAAGTGTGGTCTTTCAGAGCCAACCACAACATCACTTTCTGCTAGATCCAGGCTGCAGGCACCGACTGAAAACACATCCCACAGAGCGCAGGGGAACGTCTGGAGCTGAAGCCAGGCTGGGTGTGGAAGGGGGATGTGGATCTGTCCTAAGAAGGTGATGGATACAGATGTGAGACCCAGCTGAGGTGCGTTTAAGGGCCATAACACAGCCAGTGGTGCACATAACCTTGGAACTGGGACATGCAGGAGGAGAGATCAGTGCCTGTGGCACGAGGTTATTTTAGAGCCACAGCAAAGCAGCACGAAGGAAGAAGTCCCGCGGGCAAGGACATTTGGGATTGCTCGTATGATTACTACTGCTTCCTAAAGGCAAACCGAAGGCAAACAGCAAGGAGGTGAAAGCCCAGGCAGGAGATGGGTCTCCTGAAACAAGGGTTCCTGTATTGCAGGGACCAATTTAATGTCTGTTTGCTGTCTTCATGCCTCTGGCTCTGCAGTCAGTTCACAGCCTGCACGTGAGTACCACACTCACAGAAACCATCGTGCAGGAGGTGCTGCTGAACTCGAGCCCGTTCCACCTCTGTCAAAGTCAAGTGTGTTTAATTAAGGCGATACAATTCAGGCTGGGACTGGTCAAGTTCTCCTCAGAGGTGCACAAGGGAGTTACCAATGTTTTCACAGGGCTTAAACTTACAATACAATAGACAAAAATAAAGCGGGCTTTGTACATGCCGTTACTGCTACCTTTTTTGCATACAACTGAATAAATTACCTTTTGTTATGAAACATTAATCCTCTTTGCTAAATGGAATAATTCCCACCTCGGATGCAGCGTGAGGCTGGAGCGCCTCGGAGCAGAGCCGGGGGCACCCTCCTGTGCAGGCAATTACTGAAGGAGCAGAGGAGCTCGTGCATCGCAGGAGGAGCACAGGGGCCTCGTAGCAAGGTCGAGATGTTCCCTGGTGCATCCTTGGCTGGGGCAGCCGGCGATTACAGGGGCACAGATCAACCTTCAGAGGAAACAGAGACGGCAGAGTGAGAGGGGAAGGCTATGTGAGAAGTGATTTATCATTGCTAATTGCTATAGTGCTACAGGAGCACCAAGAGCTGCTGGCCTGGGGTCCCCCAGAGCCATGCAGCACAAGAGGAGGTCCCTGCCCTGCCCAGCCCAGATAATGGTTCAGATGGGTGCCACATGCTGCACTGCTGCACAGGGGCTCGAGCACAGCAACAAGCCTGCAGCATGGGCAGGCTGCACTGATCCCAGATAAGCGCCTCATCCTTGGCCACCCTCTTCCAGGAGCAGAGCCTTTGTGCCTGTGTAATTACATATCAGCATTAATGACTATTGGTCTTCAGAGGAGGTTTCCCCATGTCCCCCTTTCCCTGCTTTTTGCAGGTTTGCTCTACCCTGGCCCCTATCACACACCTCGGGGTCTGGCGCTGGAGCCGAGCAGGATCCATTAGAAGGAAAGTGCCACAAATCTCTGCGTGAAGCAACAGCTCCTGACAAAATGAAAGCAGCTATCTGGTTCAGATCTGCACTTAAAACAATCCAGAGAGCCATTAGTATTCCTCCCGTGTGATCCGCATGGAGTAATAGCGGCTCTATGAATAAAATTAAAATCAGAGCTGATGCTGCCTCGCACTTGGGGAGACGCTGCACAGCGAAGGCCACGTTACTGTGGGCAACACTGATCGTTTTAGCCAGGGGTTGGGCCCCCCGTCCTACTCCTCTGAGCAGCCCTTCGGTTCAGGAACATCTCTGCTTGCTGCCTTTCAAGGCAAGCAGGAAGTCCTGCTTGAATCTAAGCCCACGAGGGCATCCTAGAGCTCAACCACACACAGCAAATGGCAAATTATGATGTTAAGGGGTAGCTGAATCTTTAGGAGCTGTCTGTGGCTCAGGGACAGGCTGGCTGCTGTGCCCTGAAGGCAGCCCGGCAGACTGTTGCTTCCCAACTGGAAGGGATGCTCCTCCTGATGCTCGCAGGCTGCTGATAGCACGTGGGGGGAACAGAAACCCTCTTAGAGCAGCAAGCAGGAGAAATCCATAATGTTTTTAACCAGGCTGTGAGTTTCAGACTATAGTTCATTAATTCAAAGAGATAGAATTGATATCTCTCCCCTTCCCATCAATGGAGTCAAAGGGTCTCTCCATGTCTCCTAATGTGGCCATCGTATTCCGATAGCTCCGACAGCCTCTGCAGAACTGGATTGTTGTTTCCTCCAGGGACTCCTCGGAGATGCCTGCAACCAGACTGCCCGGACCATCACATGCAAATGCTGTGGGTATCAGTCCTGCACTCCATCTCCATGCCTGCCACCCGTGGCCGGAGCAGCCTGCGTGCCCAGGAGCGGAGCGCGAGGAAACTGCTGCACAAGGAGTCTCGGCTTTGATCTTAACAACACGTGGCTCTGTGATTCCGAGCACTGGGCTTGCCAGGAGTCCCAGAGCACGGTTATTCACGGTTGCTTATGAAACCCCTCATTAGCTCAAGAAGCTAATCGTTGTTGTTGAAGAAGCGAGCAGTGAATCCTCATGCCTGGCGCTCTGCCACCCCAGGAGCTGGGCTTATTGACTGCAAGGCATGGCAGCCTTTCCTCCTGCAGGCAGAATAATATTCCCCAACAAACCCACATCCCCCCCCCCCATTAGAATCACCTTTCCTTTTTTCTCACCCAATTCCTATCCACAGAAAAATTCAGGGTTGTGAGCGGATGCAAACTCTGGGACTCATTTCAGAGAAACTCTTCAATCCAGCGGCAAAGTTACCTCTAAAGTGCCAAAACCCAGGGGGAAAAACATCCTACATGGGCCAGGCCACCTTGCCCATATAGGAGAGCAGCTCAGGATGGAGGTTCCTTCCCCTACCAGCCAAGCCATCAGCCCAAAGCATCACTGGGGTCAGCAGCACGAACAGCAGTTAATGGATCGTCCCTCCGGCCTGGCTGCTGGGAGGAATGAGGCTTCAGCCAGGAGGAAACGATTTTGCAGGTATTGTTTTGCTAACAATAGCAATTCCTACTTCTGAGAATGCTATTTTGCTTAATACCTTCTTTCTGCAGAGCGGTGACACGATGGAGTAATAGCCCTGGGATTGGTGTGAAGGGGTCTGGCTGGCGACAAGGAAAACAGCTGTATCCATCAGAAAAGAAAGAGAAAACAAGCGCGGAGAAAACAAGTGCTCCACATAAGCATCCCCTGACAACACGGGTTTTAATCTTCAGGATTAAATGGTATTTTGATTCCTTTCTCCACAATAAATGCATTTGCAGGGAAAAACGTGCCTATTTTACCCTCTGCAAAGAGGAAAGGTTTCTGGGCCTAAGCAATGCGGCACTTACTTGAAATAACACACAAGTACGGTTTGAAAGTTATCTGAGAAACCAAACACAAACCCCATGGCCCAGGGTGGAGCGGGGCCAGCCGGAGCACCCTCCTCCTGGTTACCTGTGCCTGCTCCCACTCGGGTGAGGGGCAGAGGAGAGCCCTCAGTGGCTGCACAGACCCCCCCCAAATTCCCCATTGCCCTGGTCCAGTGACCGGGAGATGTAATTATCCATTAACACCTTTGCGGGCTTGTTGCTGTTTACCACGAGGGCCGTGGGGCGCTGGGCACAAAGCGTTTACACTGATGAATTATTCAAGTTGTGTAAAACCAGACAGCATTATTCTCGGGAGAGATAAAGAGGTGGCTGCACATACACATGGATGTAGATATAACAGCAGCTTTAAAAAGCATTACAGTTCGCAGCCTTCTCCTCCCAAACAAGGCACAACGCTCTTTTCCTCTGAAGCAAGGCAGCAAACAGAGAGCCCAGTTCAAAACAAGATGCCGCGGTGCCCCACAGAGCTGGCTGGCAGCAGCTAACCCCTGTCCACCTGCATCACTCCTCGGCACCCCTGAATCACAAACCGGCTGCAGAGAGAAAAGCGGCCCCTGGAAGCCACATGGGGCTGCCCAAGGCTTTCTGGCTGCTCCTGCTCTCACGCTCTACCCCCCTGCTCGCCCAGGAGCCAGCTCACATGCAGCAGCCTCAGCAACCTGACGAACCAGGCGTGGGCACCTGCTGTACCATGGGCAAACCCTGGGGCTGACAGAGCAGCGCTGCATCCCCACAGCTCCTGCAGTCCTACCACAACTAGCCCATACGTGCCACCGCAGTGCCACCAGCAACGCGGATCCAGCTGCCCGCAGCTGATGGGCACGCTGCCCGGAGCACCCTATCAGAGCAGTGGGAGCACAGCACCCACTCACACCTCTCAACACGCAGGCTGCTCGTCAGCGGCTAAGGGTCCTTAAAAACAAAGGAACCCCCAAATCCTTCAAGAGCGCAATAAACCAGAGCGCAAAGGAAAGGGCTTATGTTAGAAACCAACAAGATACCCTTGAGCTGCTGTCCTTTCCCCCCTCCACACGGTGATGGAGGGCGCCTGTGCTCCTATTGATCTGACCCGCACACCCTGAGCAGAGCTCGTTTAAAAACAGAAGGAGAAAAGCAATGTTCAGCAGCACAACATCTTGTTAAGCTGGGAAGTCGGGGGAGCGCTCCCGCTCCGCAGCCGTCATCGGGCATTGCCTGCGCACACGGAGCAGGAGCGCGCTGCTCTTGATGGGGTTATTAATAACTGTCGCGCTCCGAGGAGGTGCAATAATGCACTTGCTTTCCTTCCTAGATTAAAACAAACCCGCAGGGCAGTGTCCCAGGCCTCCTGCTCCCACCCTTTGCATCCCAAAGGCAGCGCAGAGGAACAGCAAAGGGAGTGAACCACCGACACGATGATCCCTTTGGGATGGCCAAGCCAAACTCCCTTCACCAGAACCAGCCCTCCCATGAGGAACAGGGCTTGCTCCCTTACCACATGCACTATGGAATAACGCCTCTGTTTTCACCCCACAAAACCCCACACTTGCTGCTTTGCTGTAGTTACACTTTTAGGCCTAAATATAACCAGAAGCCAGAGGGAGGAGACTGTTTAAGAGACTGTTCAACTGCAGGCAGAAAGTGTCAGTCCCTATGTATTAATTTAAAGTTTGAGGGTTTTATGTGGATGCTGCTGAGACAGACATAACTATGAGTAAATATGTCAAAATAAGCTATCAAGCGGAAAGCTGGTCCCTGAGCTGTTCAATGGAAGAAGTTACACAAGGATTATGACTAGATTTCAAATTATATTCCAGAAAGCAAGAAAACAAAGGACAAGGTTTGGGGGATCCTTATTTATGCCTAGACAGTTCCCATCCCTGTCTTGCTTTGCAATATGTTTGCAATCAGTCTTTACTGACGGAGCTTTCTCAACGTTTTTCACACCTTTGTAGAGCTCAGGTTATACCAGATCCTGCCTTTCCTTCTTCTCCTCCCCTGCCACTTCTCCCAGAGGAGTACAGGCTATGGCACGTCTGCATCTGAGCGGAGACAAGTTTGGACACGGTGCCATGCTGCTGATGCAAGCCCTTCCTTGTGCAGAAAGAGAGGGAAAATGCTCCTGTCCGAGCACTGGGACTCGCTCCTGAGCAGAAAGCAGCAGGGAGCTCATTAGCCACCGTTCCCCTAGTCTTCATCGTCATTACTGTCACCTAGTGCTGAGGAACAGCCCGGAGGCTGCAAAGCATGCAGGAACTGGGAGCTTCCGAAGGGTTGGAAGCTCCTGGCTGGACCACAGGGCTGGTCCCCTTCCACGGGAGCATCTGCTGGTCCAGCCGCTGGGCTTCCACTGGCAGGATGCTGCAAAGCTCAATGCCATTGGTCTGGAAAGCCTGGGTTAAAGCTACCCAGCCTGCTAAAGGCTCTTGGGCACCTGCTAGCAGAAGTGCTAAATTAATCCACTGAACAAAGCAAAACCCTGCCTTAAAGTAAAACCAAACCCCCAAATCTACCTGAATAGTCCTCCCCTGGAGGCCTACCAGTGCCTCACTTCCCATGGCGAAAACAACGAGCTGTAAAAGACTGATTAGTCAACTGGTAATTGAGTTCTTAAATGTCAAAAACAATATAGTATGAATATTC